AAAAAACCCCCCCCCCCCCCCCAAGTCATTCAATCCTCTTAGTTTTTAACATGTTTCAGGCAAAGCTATGTGTGATGTTTCCTTCAGATTGTTATCTGATAGTAATATTTGTAATCTCTTGTCAAAAGGCACTTCATAATCTCTTGGTTAAAAAGGTGCAGATAGGAGAATTTTATAGCAACCAAGCAAAGATAAAAGATATGCCTTCTTGTCAGATAATACAGCTGTGGTGCTACTCCATTAGCAACTGTAGCCTCTATTAAAAAGTTGCAGGATTAGGATAGCCCCATGCATGGATTTTCTTTCTGTCCTTGGTTAAATCAGCATGCTAGTGAAGTTTTTAAAGATGATTATGTAATGCAACTATTTTCCTGGGTTTGGTACTGGAAATTTTTTTCTCAGAAAAGCTTATAATTAATGAAGATGATCATATCGGTCAGGACTGTGATAAGTGTGATTCCATTAAGAGTAACAGTTGATCTTTCTTGTCAATTAGCTGTCTGTCTCAGAATCAGCTTAGAAACCGATGACTTACAGTATAACGAGGAAAGGGCTCTCCATTTTCAAGGGCATATGGATTGTGCCCCCCCTCCATTTCAAATAACCATTCGATTATTATCTTCAAAATCTTTCTCTTGATGAATTTTAATTGGCTTATTTCCCAGCAATGCTACACTGAAGTAGGCCACTATGCTTGCTAATTATGGCTTTGTTTTACGAAATTTTTGTCATGATTTATACTTGTTTAAATTATGAAAATTGTTCAAGCCTCCACCACATGGTGCCTTGAACTCAGTAACTAAAGGTTCAAAGACTAGTAATCTGTTGACAAGACATTTACTTCTTTCTGCGGGCCTAAAATTAGCAGCAATTTGACGAATTCGCCGAGCAGAAGATCTGTGTGAGATGAATGCATCTTGTTTCGAACACAGCAATATTGATATCAATCTTCGATAATTTTCATAAAGAAGGAACGAGGAACATCTTATGGTAGCTTAATAATCAACCATACATTGTACACTACTTTAGCAGTGAAGATATTGCAGATTAATTGATCGATCCTTTTACTCTGTCGAAATGCTTCAGTGTTGTGCTTTGTACATGGAATGAAACCTGTTTATTTGTAGACAGGTCCTACAGAAGTTGACATCAGGTACACTTATTTGTGAAGGCCCACACCTGTCTCCTGTAAGATTCCTAGTTAATGTGTTCATTCAAAAGATAAACTCTAGGGACCAAAGGGCACCACCGAGGAAGGGTTCAAGAGCTCAAAGGAACCTTAACACGGCAACTTGTGAGACAAATACACATCAAAACTTATGAGCTGATTTTTGGATTACATTATCCACTTTTGTCTATTGTATGGCTGTAATTTCAATACATATTTCAATACTTCTGTTCCACTTCTTGTCGTCGGTGGCCATAGATGGAACAACACCTTTTTTTTTTTTATCTCGAGTACTCATATGAAGCCCTTAACAAAAAGATTTTTTTTAAAACAAAAAATTCTTATCTGATCCAGCCTAGCTAGCAGAAAGCCAAAAACATGGTTATGAATACCAATGAATTATTATACAAAACTAGATGATGGAACAGTTATGTGACTGGTGAAAGTAAGCTGGTAAACCTTATTTTATATAATTGCTATTCCTATAGCTAATAATTCGAAAACAAGGATTCTTGTAATGTTCTAAAAAATTCAAGTAATTTGATAATAATGATTATATTAGATATTTGATTAACCTTTTAATTTTAGTAATTTGATTTATTCACTCTGGCTAAGATGGTTGGTTCCTATATCTAATGCCTGGTATTTAGTAAGCTAAGGGGGTTGATAGTTAATATCTATAAAATTTCTCCTTTAATGAATTTGAAGACTTTTTAATATTTAAATAAATATCTTTTTCAAAGAAAAATTACAATAGTCTTTTTAAAAAATAAACTTTAAAAATATATGTGCTAAAAATATTCAGAATAATGAGATTGTGAACCCTCCTTCTGTTAAGGATTCAATAGGTTTTTATAACCCATGATTCTTTTCTATTGGTGAAGAGGAATAAAAAATTATATTCTCCTAATAACATTAAAAATCTCTTATGTATCAAAGAGAAAAATATCTTTGACTTTTTAGATAAAAAATATCTCTGACTCATCAGAATCTTGTTGTCTAAAATGAAACCTATGAAAATTACCAGAGCTGCATGTATTTAGCCTCAGTGCTTGGCTGATCCCAAGAATAATAGGTTTGGCAGCTTACCAGACCTGTATATGTTTTGCCTTAACACTTGGTTGAACTTAAAAATGTTAGGTTTGACATATCGCCAAACTTGTATATGTTTAGACTTAATGCTTAGATAAGCTCTAAGATGCTAGGTCTAACAGCTCATCAAACTTGTATATATTTGGACTTAGCGCTTGGTCGATCACAAAGATAGTTAAGTTTGAGATTGTTGGGTATGACAACTCGCTAGACTCATATATATTTGGGTTCAACGCTTAGCTAATCCTAGAGTTGCTAGATCGAGCAGCTCACTCAACCCATATATATTTAGTTGAGCCCAAGGATGTTAGGTTATCACTTTACTTTTGGTTTCTTTAAATGAAAAAAGATTTTGATCCATCAGTAGTCTTCTAAATTTTTCATATTTAATTCATAAAGATTTTGAAAGTTTATCAGTAATAAATAAGTATTTTTACCTTCTCCATAAGATCTGTCTAACCTTGTGACTCGTTTTTATTAAAAGAGGTGTCCTTCAAGAAATAAAATGATAGCTTGCATTTAATGTAGTAATTGAATGGATTTCTAATGATTTAAGATGACATAAAAAATCATTCATCTAACAATATGGATGAAAAGTTATTTTCTTTATAACCCTTATTGTTCATACTCCCAACTTTTCTTTTACTTTCACTCTTTGTAACTTCTAAGAAATAGTTTAGTGAAAAAATCTTAAGCCAGTCTCACTTTAATTTAAGAAGAAAATTATCACCTAAAGTATTTCCTACCAGAAACTTTTTTTTTTTTTACTTTGAATAGAAAAATGGACCAAAAAAAGTCAAATTTGTCTCTAAAATAGAGATGTTGTCGTCTCTAATAAAGAGTTTAGGTTCCAACTTGAAACTTGAAGAAACGACAAAGAGCAAGGATCTATCAAATTGGACCCCAAAACTAGAAGGGGTGACACCTTAACGTACACCTCTTTTTAGTGGGGAAGGTAAATCTTCCTGTAAGATAAGTTCTTCTCTTGCTATTACCAAGGAATCTCATGAGAGAGGGAGGTTGCCCTAAACCTCTAAAGATAATGCTCTTATCATATTAGATGCAAAAAAACATATAGTTTGTTACTTGTCTATAGCCAGGAGAGTACACAACTCAAATGCCTGATTGAGCTAAGCATATGAGCCAGCAGACCTTGGGCTTTACCCGGAGTCAATTTAAAATTGCAATTCTTTTTTGCATGTATGCATTAGGGTATTTCTTCTCTCTCAAATAATTTATAAGATAAGAGTTTATATATTACTAGTTAGGTCCAAACCAGTTGCACCATAATAAATGGATAACCTTGTCCGCTTTTAATAAGTGTTTTAGGCTTATCAGATTGAATCTACAGTTAATGTTTAACACAAGGATTGTTAAAACCTATGGTATAGGCTAGTTCAAGGTTCTTAGGCCAAGTTCATTGAGTTTTACTATCTTTTTGAGCAACCATCATTATTCTAAGAAGAAGTCGGTCCTGATTGAAGAGTTTTTGATGTTTTGATAAAGTAAGTATTCTAACAGCCATAGAGATATCCATTTGACATTCCATTTCAAGTGTTTTGTGGTTGTCTCTCGTTGATAATAATTAGGGATGTCAATAACTAATTTTGAAGGAAAATTTAATGGTTTTTTTTATTATTCCCACAAATAGTGTCAATGATGATGTTCTAAAAATAAAAATAGTTTGGGGGCAAAGCTTTTGTCTTGAATAACTGGTTAGTTACTTGGTTCTGACAATTTGATCCATTTTCTTTAACCAAGATGGCTAGTGCTTTGTGTTTGGTAAGTCAAGGTGGTTAGTAGCTAGTACTTGCAAATTTATTTTTTTTTTCTAAATTTGGAGACTTTCTAATACTTAAGTGATTATCTTTTTTAGAGAGAAAACATAATAATTGTTTTGAGAGATAAACTTTGAAACTACAGATGCTAAAAATATTCAAAATGATGAGATTGTGAATCCTTTTCTTTTAAGGATTCAATAAGTTTTTGTAATTCATGATTCTTATTTTTTAGTGGAGAGAAAGACTAAAAGTCATATTTTATTATAATATTAAATATCTCTATGTTTAAAAAAAAAAAATATATTTGACTCGTTAGAAACTCGTGGTCTCTAATGAAGTCTAAAAATATTACCAAGAGTCACATATTTAGAGCTTAGTATTTGGCTGAGTTCGATAATATTAAATCTGATAACTCGTTAAATTTATATATATTTAGACTCAACTCTTAAATGAGCCTAAAGATATCTTGATTTCAATTTTTTAAAATTAAAATCTAAGTAAAAAAAATATTAATTCATCATATTCATTATTTAGAATTGAAGCGAGTAGAATAAATTAAAGAGGCATGCATCAAAAGTAAGTGTGTGTGTGTGTGAATGATATGGTTGATTAATGATTTAGCAAATAAAAATATAGAGTAAAACAAAAGATGAAGCAATGGTTGACTTCTGATAACAGCTCATATACATGGTGGTAGCTACAAGACAAGTGAAGGAGCGCATTATGAGGCCTGGAGACTACAAGAATCTTTGCATATATATTATTTAATACACATAATATCCAATTGGGATGAGTGGATTAGGACAATGGCCAGAGGTCAAGGACATTAAGGAAGCTTCATAATTCAGTTCATAGGTATTCAAAGAACAATATGCCTGTTACATTAACATTATTGATGATGTTACTCCTTCTTAATTGATTTCTCAGAGTCTGAAACTTGTTTAAAGAAAAGTTTTTCTAAGCCATTGTCATGCAGCATACCCTGAACAGAATATATATTTTGTCTTCATGCTCGACAGCACATAAAAAAAATTGCTCTGCAACTTGCCTGAATATATGCAATCAAATTAAATGGAAATGAGCCGATAATTAAGCAAATTTTCTTCATTAATTTTCTTTAATCACCATCAATATTTATTCTGGCATACACGCGTACGTACCCTGTTTGTCTTCTTCTTCTTCTTCTTCTTCTTCCATGTAGGTATCATAATTTGGACATGATAACTGATTGTAAAACATTAATAGCTAGACGTCTTTCCATTTCCTTGATGATTTTTGTTTTCCTTGTAAACAAATCAAGAATGGTGAAAAAGGAATTTAAATCTTGTCACTCCAACTAATCCATTCATATATATATATATATATATATATATATACAGACACAAACACACAGACACGCACACGATTAATTTAGTTGGCACTGTGCAATAAGTAACGATTCCCATACTGGGTATGCCATGTAACCTGTAATAATTCATCAATAATTTTGTCGTCATTGTAGTCTTTCAAAAAATACGTTACATTACCTCTCTTGCACATCAACTCCTATCCCACGCCCTCCTATAGAGGACAACAGCATTACTGTGACTGTCCTGGCTATTTATACAGCTAAAAGAGTGCGTGCATGGGATGACCAGACCCCTCCCTTCTCTATTTACTAGTATTAATTGTGGCCTTATATATGGATAGCATTTTCCCATAATGAGAAGAACAGGTTAGTAATTCAAATTGCAAGATGTATTGAGTGATTTGCATATACATGTGTGTGGAGAATTGATTAAATTTGAGGGTGTTTCTGGGAGAGAAGGAATATTTCCTAATATGATTCTAAAACAATTACTTTAGGTTACTGAGACTGGAAAAGTTGCGTCAAAAGGCCTGACACAAAAGAGACGGTGGATGGTAGCTGAAAGTTGCTTGCCAAAAGGGAGGGTAGCAGCTAGCTAGCTAGCTAGCTGATCAAGGATAGGATGGATCACAGGGAAGTATTTAGAATTTTCTTCCTATCGAACAAGACTCCAAGAGGAGGCATATGTAGAAGCCGCTGCTATCATCAATTTATTGCAGGATACCATATTTGCTTCATCTCACTGATTTGGGGTATTTCTTGTCCTCAAGAAACTTTCCCTTCTCCATTCTTGTGACTTATTTTTGCATTAGGAATCTTGGGATGGACTTGGTTAAATATGATATTGCTTAAAACCCATCCTATCTCATCCCATCGCAATATCTCTTCCATTGTAAATAAATAGAAGCAACTCTTATCCTTCACAAGTACATGTCTACATCACCTTAAACTTTTACTCGGGCTTCTGAGCGTAACAGTTCTTACAATTACTTAAATATCTGCCGAGAGAAGAGCCCCACCAGTCCTCCTCTGCAGAAGTCTTAAATCCTCAAATTTTGATGGGAAATAACTAGGCCTGGTCAAATTATTGGCACACTACTTCCCCCATGCTCTTCGTTTCTTCATCTGCTAAAGGACACCAGTTGGATCAGGACCGTCCATGAGTTATAGAACCGACCTTATTGTGGTCCCAAATGCTGACATGGACCATCCAAGACAACAGCATGTAACTCTGGAAAACCATGTATAAATCTGAAGCCACAATCTTCAATCATCCTCTTGAATATGACTTTTCTCTTTGAGCCGCCTCCTATTAATTTGATTTCCTGCCAGGCTGCCACTTCATTTTCTTCTCACCACTCCATTCTCTCTCCCTCTCTCTCTCTCATCACATATTCCAATCACTTCACCACTTCCTAGAATCCATTTCAAAGCCCCAACTCTTCTCCTGTTGCTGACACAATACTAGTCTACTTCTTAAAAGTTTATTTGCCAGCACTGCATTGCAGGTTTTGTTGCACTCCTCATGGGGCGGCATTCTTGCTGTTACAAGCAGAAGTTAAGAAAAGGCCTGTGGTCTCCTGAGGAAGATGAAAAACTTCTTAATTATATTACTAAGCATGGACTTGGCTGTTGGAGCTCTGTCCCTAAACTGGCAGGTACCCTTTATTTGTTAATAATAATGCTGAGTAAATGGTGTCAGAATACTAGATTTAGAATTCCTGTAAACATCTCCTAATTTACATTACACACACACACACACACACTGGCAGGGTTGCAGAGGGGTGGTAAGAGCTGCAGGTTAAGGTGGATTAACTACTTGAGGCCTGATTTGAAGAGAGGAGCATTTTCTCAGCAGTAAGAGAACTTGATTATTGAACTCCATGCAGTTCTTGGCAATAGGTAGTTTATATTTATATTAGCTTTATAAAATCATTCTTAATAAGACTTTATTTATATCAAACTTAAGTGTTTCAATCATATATTGACTACTTCTTGCTACCTACTTGATCAGATGGTCTCAGATTGCGGCACAGTTACCTGGAAGAACTGATAATGAGATAAAGAATTTATGGAATTCCTGCATTAAGAAGAAATTGAGGCAGAGGGGCATTGACCCCAACACTCACAAATCACTTTCTGAAGCTGAGGATGGTAAAGAGAAGCAGCAGCTCACAGCTGACAAAAGCAATGAGAAAGTTTCTATTGTATCAAATGAACTGAACCTCATTGAGGCAGCTACTTCAAAACCACCTGCTGTTTCTTCCAGAAGTTCGAACGTCATCACCACCAACAACAATAAGGACAGAAGTGGTAGTAGCAACTTGACAAATATTCCACCGACACAGGAATTCTTCCTCGACAGGTTTGGTACCTCCCTTGAAAGCTCCACCACGGCCAGTTGCATGCCTTCTGATTTGATGGATTATTTCCCTTTCCAGAAATTGGATTACAAACCTATTATAGACCTCTCAATGAATCCAAACACCACTCTCTGCTTTAATCCAAATTCCTCCTCTTCTGAGATGATTTCTCATGAGTTCAATTCTAGTATGACACCTCCGACTATTCTCCCATCCAAGTCAACTTCTATGTTCCAGACTCCAATATGTGTAAAGCCTTCTGTTAGTCTTCCATCAGATCATAATCCTTCTGTAGGCTCGTGTGATGTGAATGGGGTTCAGAACTGGGAAGCAAGTAGCTTCGGCAACAACGGAAGTGGAAGCAATGGAAGCAGTAGCAGTATTGAATTGCAAAGCAACACCAATTTCTTTGAGAGCAGCGCCTTCTCGTGGGGTTTCGCTGATTGTGGGAAATCCAGCGACGAAGCTCACCTTCGATCTCTCGCAAAGGAGACGGTTGAAGACATCAAATGGTCTGAATATCTTAGCACCCCGTTCTTTCTTGGAAGCACAATACAAAACCAAACATCTCAACATGTGTACAGTGAAGTGAAACCTGAAACACACTTCATGGCACAAGGGTCAAGTACTAGTTGGCTACATAATCAACATCAACAAGCTTCACAGCCAGCAGACATCTATACTAAGGATCTGCAAAGACTTGCTGTGGCTTTTGATCAATCCATATAGGTTATTTTTTAACATGCGCAGAGTCTAATTAATTCAATTACACAGGTTTTCAGTTTGAGATGGAATATTGGGGAATAGATTATCTTCTGGCTACAGGTGTGTGCTATAGATTTCCTTCTTTTGATTTTTTGTATATGTGTCTGATACAGAATTCTTCAGCCTTTTGTTTACTTCATAAATATCTGTGATTGAACCAAGTTCATGCTGTCATTGTCTTTGAAAAAACAGCTCTGTAGAAATTTTCTTAATAAGGCTTGTTGAAATTTTCTTCAACTCTCTGTAATTGTATCTGTGACTGTAAGCAATCCATCCATAGCTTTTTTAATTTAGGCTTTACCTCCTCGCCTTTTAAAATTGAAAAATCCTGCAAGATTGTGACTCTGTCTGCAATATATCCGAGAATCTTTTGGTTTCCTGGGATTCATAATTTTCTTATTGTCATCCATATATATTTTTCTGTATTGATCTCTTCACATTACAAAAATACAGAAAGAAAATTCCAATCTGTGCTTTACTAATGCAGAATTCGAGGGGCCATTTATCTTAAATGGGTGTCTATCATTGTCTCCTAGAGATGGAGATAGTTTTCACTTTTTTGACAGCCGTTTAGTCACTTCCCTTCCCTTCAAGAGACAACCCTTGAAGACATCAAACTATAGTTGCTGTCTTCCTCTGAATTACCTCATCAAAAAGGTGCCTTGACATGCTTCTTAGAATTACAACCCAAGTGAATAACGAAGGCAGGCAGGCAGCCGTATCTATCTATCTATATATATATATATAGCAATCCCTTCTAGTCGACAAGACTTGTGCTTTGTATGTATGACTTTCAATCTTGTAAGGGCCATACATTTCCTGTATCAAGTCTTTCTTGAGGTACTAACATTATCTTGAAGGACATGGCTGAGCAACAATCTTCCCATTCAGTTTCAAGGGAAGGTGGATATTTAAATGAGCAGTCATGTCGAGGTGACAAAATCTACACCATTGATCACTTTAGGATACCCAGTCTAATATAGTGTCCTTGCTGTGGGCCTGTACTTTTACTTCTTCTGTGATGAAGACGGAAAGGGGTCCCTCAAAGGGGCATCTACGTACTGATGCTGAAATTTTACGGGAGAATGGATAGGAATTTAGTGTTTCCAGGCACATCCTGTTGGGCCAAAAAAAAAGGTGTGTTTTCTAGCAAATGGAAGAGTAAGAGGTAACAAAACGAAGGCCTTGCTAGCAAATGGAAGAGTAAGAGGTAACAAAACGAAGGCCTTGCTAAGTCAGCAGACTGACAAATTCACCGTGACAATAATCTGTGTGTGATAAATTATGCATGGGGCTTAAAAAAAAAGAGATTAGAAAGTAAAAGGTAGTATTATGATTTTTTGTCCTGGGAGATTAACAGGGTAAAATTATGAGAGGATTAACAATTAAAAATTAAAAATTAAAAAAAAACAGGGCCCAAGTAAAATTGTCATATTGCAATCTTTCATGCTTGCCATCATCATCATCATCATACGAAGTTTGAATTCCCACTGTTTTTTATTTCGGCTGCAGGCTAGGAATGCTATGTGCTTACCCCTTTGTTGCCAGTAAAATGATCTTAGAACATTTGGAAGTAATACTTAAAAGTTTTAACATATGAGATAGGAGGCGACAACGACTAAAGATATTTTTTAGGGTGTAAACACCCTTCTACCATGCAAGTGATTTAACAAAATTAGAATTTAAATGCACACAGACAGTCTCTTACCGTTGGAAAAAAAGACAACAAAAATGGCAACAAATTTGTCCCTTATAGAATAAGATTCTAATCTTCCTGACAAAAAAATGAATAAGGAATAGTGGGTTACCATTCATTCCTCTCATACATGCGACAAGAAGGTTCATGTTTGTCCATGTGCAGACATCCTAAGCAAATAGTTTCCTTCAATAAACTATGAACAAAGTCTCTTCCTTCTTTGCAAGAAACCTCCACACACACATATGTATGTATGATGATATATTCACCTCAAACACATGTGAGCCGAATTATTGTGTCTTTTGTTAATTAGGGCCCTACAATCATGGGTGCAGAAAGAACACACAAAAAGTCTTGTGATGCAATGCCAGACTGAGAGAATGGAAACAATAGTAGGGCAGAAATCTTTTCCCTATTTGTTTATAATGTCCGGCAATAGAAAATTCAAATGCCCTTGGAATCTTGCTTTTTATTGAATTATACTATAATAATAACAATAATAATAATAATAATAATAATAAGAAGAAGAAGAAGAAGAAGAAGAAGAAGAATCGGTTTTTTAATGACATATAGGCGAAATGAACACGAAAGATGACGCTGCTGATGATGATTATGACAATGATGAGTACATATAATTTAACATTATCATATCGAATATTATATGCGATTCTCTTTTACTTATGAAAGATATACTTGCATGAGACAGGTAAAATCAGGCTATTACGACAGAGAAACAAAGAGAAGATCGATGTGGTGTGGATGAAAGTTACAGTTGCAACGGAAAGAAGAACAAGCTGGCTTGAAATCAATTCTACTTGAAAGAATGCTACAATGGTGTGAATAGCTGTTAGTTCTGAAACTGCAACCTTCCATTGGAAGTTAACAGACTCCCAGATCTTAGGATTTAATGATCTTATTAGGTTGTAGGCACTCGTTAGCAAAACCCCAGAAGGGAAACAGAGAGTTTTCCATTCAGGAAACTGCAACTGATCACCTGACCTGTTGCGGTTTATCCCTGTCATTTTCAGGACTAGCTTGTGCCGTTCTGCTGATGTTACTTGGGTTGTTGGGTTCCATATTATTTATGTTGTTCCTTCAACGTTGTGGCATTAGCAAGCGAAATGTTAATTTAATCCTCACATTGTCATCACCTACATAATCAATCAGAAGGTTAATGATTAGGAACCCCATCACAATCATAGCCACTGATCATCAAATCTGATACTTTAGAGCGCCTGCATGTTGAGAAAATTAAAGACCAACGAGGCAACAACCTCAATGAGAAAGCCTATGTCCTCAAAAGCCCACGAAGCTCCATTGTAAGGGGGTGTTTGTTTTGCTGGGTATTTTTTGAAGTCATGACATTTAATTTATAAACTTAGTTTATTTATTAAGAAATAATCTCAACTCATTTTATCTCTTAAGATATGTTATAAATTAATAATGGTGATGGTAATATTATGAATTGAGTATTCATAACATATTTTATAAATAATCGAATTCATAATATTATCTAACTATTTTGTGATTTAACTACCATGGAATTCTTATATCATTATTTACCAAATATTGTAGTAACGTATTTAAAAATTTTATTCAAAACTCAAAACAAAAGCTCCACAATTTTATTAAAAATTCAAGACAGAAGCTCCTTAACGTGTGTGATAAATCCTCTGACAATCTCTCTAAAAAAAAAAAAACAAACTTGTCATTTTAATTTTTTTAAAAATATATTCTATTTTTTTTAACCAACTTGACATTTTTCTGTTCACTAGTTTAAATCAAAATCATTTGGGATAAAATGATAATAACCCAAAATAGTAGGTGGTCTTGCTCAAAATGTTCTTATTTAAAAAATTCAGCACTTAATCTTTTCGCTTCCACGAAAAAGGTTGTATTGGCCCAGCTGACAAGATGATAGCAGAGTCAAAAGAGAAAGTGGGGATGGGAGCCAACCTTTCTCGAACACAAAGTCAAAAATATGAGCATGTAAATATGGACTTCTTGATTGATACAATTCGAATCGAAAATGTAAATGCACAAGATGTGCTGCATCAAATACAAAGGCTTGCTGATAAATTTACATTTCTCAGCACACCCTTCCTTGTTATTGTCCTCTACCAAATTTCATTGAATCGGATGGTTCTATTACAGTAACAATGAGGATATATCTAATAAGATGACTGTAAAAATACGGCCCTTCTGATTAAATTTGACTCATCTAAAAACTAGATTGTGGCAACTGTTGTCACAGGGATAGGGACAATCAATAGCCTTCTCGCCTGCACGCTCGAAATACCAATCTCCAACAGCAAGTGCAATAGGCTGCACATTGTCAACCACATCAGTTAGATATTTGAAAGCTTTGATAATGTGAGAGATGAATCAAACTGCACATTGTCAACCACATCAGTTAGATATTTGAAAGCTTTGATAATGTGAGAGATGAATCAAACAGGACTGCTAGTGTTCTAAAAAAATACAACCAGGAATGAGGAACCCCAAGAAAAGGGCCACAAAACAATAACTTGTGTTTTTCCTTTCTGTTTCTTTTCGAGATCAAAGCAACCTTGATGAATAATTATGAGGTCTGATTAGACATACCTTGCTTCCAAGGACGGGAGAATCATCAGCAAACCATGTATCTTGCCTCTCTGATTGGCAGTGAGCAAAACATGAATTTATAAACAATCCATTCTGTCTAGAATTTGAAAAACCTTTTATTGCATTTAGCATTTGATTCCTAAATCCTGTTACAAGAAACACATGAAAATGCCCCAATGAGCATACTGAAACTGTTATGTTTTGTGGCCTTGCGGGGACCCAAAAATGGGTTACAACAGCCTATATTAAATAAAGTGATCTGCAATATTAAGTACCTTGCAGAAATTGGAGCTGAGATGCAGAACATTTCGAGTGGTCCTTTCTGCAATTGCTCCAGTAGCCATGGGGATCAGCAGATGGTGGAGCTAAGCTGGACTGGATCTGAATTCACATGGTAAATATGATAAATATGAGATTCGGTTATCTTATAAACCTTCCACTAACAGTAAGTTAACTCGTGTAGTTTGTTAGTCAAGGACTACTCCGCTAACAATAAAAGACTCGTGCATTATCACATTTACTGGAAAAAGATTATTACCTGCCATGAATCATAGGCTGTATTGAGAATGAACAATGGGGCTTTAACATTGCCGATTATGTTTTGTGGGAAGAAGCACTGAAATAAAAAGGAAATCACAGCAAGATGGATGGGTTTCAGATGTATGCAATACATGCAAATTAGATAGATGTGAGACAAGAAAGAATGATAAATAAAATGATTACAGAAGTTGGATCAAGGTGGTTGGTGCATATACGTGGAAGGTTATTCTGCACCCCCTGAAAGAAGTATGAAAAATACCACAATTAGCATTCAGTGAAAGCATAACTCAAAATCTTCAAACTACAAACATAGCTAAATTTACAAAAGTTGGACATCAATATACTACCTGCAAGCCGACAACTCCACTATATACGTTCCTTAAGGTGCGCCCACCAGAAACATCAACTCTAAAATTTCCAAAAGGAAATGAGAACGGATAAGTTAGGTGCTAAGTGAAGAGAAATCAATTCTCAGAAATGAGGAAAACAAGAAAGAGCGTCAAGATAACAAGCAATTACACATCAAGGAATAAACCAGCATCACTCAGGCATTTCACTCTAGTTGTTTTTGGAAACAAATCCCTAAACTCGTCACAGTGTAGAATAGAAGCTAGACCCCCAGCAGAGCAGCCAGAAAGAAGAGCCTGAGAAAAAAATAACAAAATTATTGCGAGAAGAATCAAGAAGAAAAGATAGCGGTAAGAAAATTGAAAGCTGATGAGATATAGAACCTGATTGGCATAGCGCATTCCACTGGACATTAAATCTTCCATTGCAGCTGACCATATACGTTGTCCTCTAAATTGAAGCTGTGCAGCCTAAAACAAAATCATTTGATTCTAACATGTGAGCTCACGTGATTAGTCATAACTTTCATGATGCTAGTTTAAGAGCTTCCAATCAACTCATATAAGTGGAAAATGTGTTAAATTCAAAAATATAATCAGGGATGCTATAGTAAATGGCAAGATTCCAACCTTATGTTCACTGTTCCCAGTAAAAGAGGCACCATCACAGTAACGGAGTTTTACTCTGTTCCAGTTGAAAAAATCTGCAAACCACATGTCAATAATGCATCCAAGGTCAAATGCGACAAATAAAGAGGTATTTTAAAGTATTTGAGAGTTAAGGTTAAACCAGGATTTTCTTCAGGTTTATTGCTCAGTATTCCTGTAAACGCCAACTGCTTTTCCATGTAGTTAGATGAACCTCGCCGAGTTTTTTTACGGTAAACACAAGCTCTGACAGTATTACACCATCCTCCTCCCTGCACAAGATTTTCAACAAAGTCATCGATGTCAATTGAAAGTGGCCTGTGAAACTTGCATAGCCAGCTGACTAAGTAGCTTAAGTCAGCAAATCCTAAGAGAATTTAATTCAAGGTTGTCAACCTACTTACCAAGAAAAATTTTATATATTAGTGGCTCACAATCCAATATCAAGAGCTTCAGATAAATATTATTAATCCAAGTACCGATAGCAGTAAAAATCATATACATTCCTTCACTTAGGTAATTATTTGTATTTTAGTTTTCCAAGCAATGTCATCTTGTGAGTCTGTAGTTTTTTTAACTGCCCAATGGCCAGTAACAAGACACATAATTAATCATCTACACAAATGATGAAAGGTTTAGCTCACAGCCGAAACAAGTAACCAAACAGTTGAAAATATAGACCATAAATTATGACTTCAAGATTATGTAAGAAAAATTATGCAAAAGCAAGAGACTACATGTTAGTATAGAATTTCTAACATTAATAGTTACAAACCTCCAATTGAATAAGCCAACTATTTGCCCCAGAACCATACCCACGATGCCAATGGTATCCAGGCAATGTTCCATCCAAACAGACTGCAAGATTGACAGATGATAATTAGGACAGGATATAAGACAAAAACATCATTGCAAAATACATTAAAAATATCTTTCATGTCACAGCTCTTAAAAACTAACAACAACATTTGTTTTAATAAATTTGAATGGAAGAGATTTGAGGGAATATATATATAAAAAAAAAAATGTGAAAATTTGAACCTTGATTATCAACAATACCAACCACATTGCTATTGCTGTGATAATAAGTAAAGAAATTGGAGTAAAACAACAGAGGATGGAACAAAAATTGTCTCTCTGTGCCCACGGAACTGTCAAATAACAAAGAAAACATAGAAAATGCATCTCTGCCTATATGTATATCATATCAAAATTAAAACAAAATGGGGTCCTTTATTTATTTTTTTTCCTCGCAAACATAGAAGTAATATTTAAATTCCTTTTTCTTCTCTTTCCTCTTTACTTTTTTTCTCGCAAAAATAGGTAGAAAAGGAGAAAATAAATAAGGAGGAAACAAATCTAAATCATTGAAGAACTCAGAAACCAGAAAAAATAGAATCTGACAGTACACTGAAAGTTGAATCATATCAATATCAGTAAGACGTGGGAAAATGAAAGTGGCATTTAGTTTTCCTACAAACAAAATAAAGAAGAAGCAAACTTCGGCATCTGAAAATGAAAAGAAGCAATCTTTAAAAGTTAAATTACCTGCTCCTTTAGCAGCAGCTGATTTGATGAGAGTGAGGCCAACCAACAAAGCATTATTTCCAAAAACAGCTTTAGATTCATTATAATAAGAAGCATTACTTTCAGTGTAAAAAAGCTCTTCTTCATTGATCTCCAAGATACCATTTACCTCCCATGCCCCAAAAAGGCAAAGAACAGCAGCAGCAGTCCAGGAGCCGAAAAGCTTCATTTTTTTATTTTTTTTTATTTTTGTTAGCTCTGTGTGCCAAGTAAATCTTGAAAAGAAACAGAAAGAAAGAAGCAAAAGGTGAAGGCTTTGGGTTTGGGTTTGGCTTCACGAGGGAAGGGATAGTTTGTTACGCTTAGCAGTGCTAGTTTTATACTAAAAATGGCTAATTTGTCAATGTCATTATGAGCATATTTATTTAAATTATGAGCGAGAGAGAGAGATACAATCTAGTAGCTTAGCTTCCTTGAATTTATTTGGGAAGCTAAATCTATAGAGAGAGAGAAAGATGTTTTATGTGCCGGGCTTTCCAAGGTTTATTACTGGAAGCATGCTAGGAATCTGACAAAGATTTAAAGTAAATATAGTCCTTGATGTATTATCACATTATTAAGTTAGTCCTAAACCTTTTTGTTTATTTAATTTAACTCTAAATACAGTCGATGATATAGACAACGACGTGTTAGGGATCATATTGAAGCATATTTCCATGCATGGGATGGAGGTACTTGAAAAGCACATGAAAGTTAGACAAAATCTTCTATCTGCCACTAACCTCAAATCGAATAAATGGAAGGTTTATAACTCATTTGATAAAATCAAATAGATTGAACTAAATTGAAATTGAAGTAATCTCTTAGGGGCTATATATATTAAGGTTCCCCGTTTGATGTACGTATACAAAGAAACTACGGAGAATTTAACGGTGCAGAGAGAGAGTGAACATGTGATTTGAGGTGGAGGGAGGAGGAGGAGGAATGAAAGGAAGGAGGGATGATATGATGAAGCATGAAAGTGTTTGTATGGTAGCATAGCAGCGTGGGGGTGGTGGGGATGGTTAAATGCAGCCATGTTTGGCTCTGGTTAACGGAAGGAGTTGTCCTTTTGCCCTTATTATTATTATTATTTTGTGTGAGACTGTGGTTCCTTTTGCTTCCCTTCTCTTCTCGGTAGATGAACCTCTAGTGCATGATTGGTGTTTGGGATGATTGGTGCGTTTTTAAAAATATATATATTTTATATAAAAATATATTAAAATAATTCCTTTAAAATTTTTAATACCCATGAATCAAAATCATTATAAAATATCAATTGAATATTTTTTCAAATAAAAAACTCTCTTAAAGAATATATAAAAATGAAAACGAAAATGGTGTCAAGCATTAGATAGCTGCATTCGTTTCTTCTTGAAATATTGAAATAACCCCAAGCAAGAAAATAAAGGAATCGTTTCTTTTCTTTTATCTTCTTCATTGAAGTTAAACAACAGAAAACCTAACATTGGCTACAAGGGATTGATTCCCAATTACAAAATTCTAAGAAAAGGATTATCATCTACGTAGCATTTTGAATTTGCTTTTCCAGTTGATTATCGCTTTTCTTTTCTAGATTTCTTTTACGGATATGACTCATTAAAACCTTCAAATGGGTGTCGTTGGCACTAAAAAGAAGAAGAAACATCATGGTACCTCCTCCAACAATCATGTAAGATCCGTGAAATGCTCTCTTCTTGACTTGAAATGAGGATACACCGAACTGTTCAGATTTAGATGTATAAAAAGTAATTATGGTGACCTATGCTTAATGCATCCTCGTAATTACTGGTAAGGAGTTAATTGAGCAATCAGTGGAGTCCTACTGTACTGATTATGCAGGGTGGGCAACGCAGCATAATTAATTACCACTTCTATTTAGAATACAATGATAAAAATTAACAATAATTATGTTGACCCACATGGCGCCAACTAATTAATGACACCTCAGGGGGCCAGACCTTGGCATGCGATGTGTCTGGTCCTCTCTTCCTCGTAGACTGCTGTTGTTCCTTCCTCCTCTCACTCTTCGTTTTAGGTTTGGTGCTGGTATCTCTACGAATGCAACTTTCACTCTCGTGTTACCGCTTTTTTGTAATTCCATGAGTTAAATTTGATTTAGAGATTTTAATAAGATTTTATATTTAGAATTATTTTGAGTGTTAAGAATTGAATTTTAAATGAAATTCAATATCTAAAACACTATAAAAATAAAAAATAAAAAATAAAAAATAAAAATGTGCATCGTTAATTTACAATTTCAAAATAAAGAAATTTAATATTAAAATTAACTTTTTTTGAAATATCTATATGGCCTTTTAAAACAAACATTTGAGGAAATAAGATGAAAATAACAAGAATAATATATAAACTAAAATGAATTGAATATTGTATCTTTCATGTCAATTTAACTTGTTTATTTGAATTCAAATCAAACACTGTAATTTAATTCAATTACAAGTACTCTAAACAATTTATTAGTAAATCTCATATAGATTAGCCTTCTAAGTTAAATCCTTTTCATTATTTTCTTTTTAGCCAATATGTCTTCCAACTCCTTTTTTCTTCCTTTTTCATGTAACTTTTTTCAATATACACCCTAAGAGTAAAGGCTTGTCTGGGATTATGGTAATTTATTTTTTTGTCCTGGTAACGCCATGGATAGGTAATAATATTACAACAGAGCTAGATCATCTCACTTGAAAGTAATACCTGCCCAAACCCGTCCTTCACTCCGTCCATCGAACGAGACGTATCTACAATATCGATCGAAAATGGTTGAAACTAATTACATGATCTGTGAAATAAAGGCTAAGGCCTACATAAAAAATAAAAGACGAAGAAAAGGGCTTTATATGGGGGGTTCCGATAAAGAAGATGGATGGTGACCAACGATGGTTCATTTAGGTAGCTGGGGACCATGGTGGGTGGAGACTGGGTGTTGATGGTGGGGGTTCTTGCTTCCCTCCCTCCCTACGAGACGGGAACAGCTAGCTTGTCCTGGTATCGAGGCCCCATGCAATTTGATGGTAATCAGCTAGCTAGTTGTGATTGACATTATGCCAACAATGCCGTAATGCCCCTCTCTTGCGCCTCCTGGCTGCTTCCCATCGAAAAGAACAAGACCCTAGCACCCTAGAATATTGACCCTTTCCAGCTCTTCTGACCTGCCCTTTTCGTAAGGACCGAGCTAGGCAGCTCGCGACCATTCCCACCAATACTACCGGTGGCTGGTAGTGCATTAATCTCGCCTCCCAAACTGCTTCCAATTGCCTTGGCAACCTAATATGTCAATTAATATCTCATTATTGGGTATGTATCTAGCTCTCTAGATTCACTTTTAATTGTCTTAATTCTTTTTTTAATGAAATTAATTATTTGAATCTTCTTCTTATTTATTTATTATTAAATTGCCTATTTTCTTATTAGCACCTGCTCTATCGTGTTGGTCTTCCTGTATATGAATTCTAATCCGGACCCCTTTTTTTTAATCGTATCTGTCTTAAAGTATTTGAACCAGGGCAAGATTCTTAACGTGGTAAGGACTTGTAAAGGAGAGAATAGAGAAATGACGAATGTCTTTGTTTTGATCTCTAAGAAACAAAGACATTAAAGCGAGAAGCAATGCATGGGGTGGGGCATAAGCAATACTTTGCATGGGGTGGGGCGTAAGCAATACTTGATAATCTTCCCACGTACTTGCTCCTGGTACTAACGATCTCTCCCAAATGAGTGATGATTTCACGGTCAGTACATTCAAGATAGATGCACGTATCTCTCACGACGGTTAACGGTGAGGCGTAACACCCCCGGATCCACCTGCAACCAAGAGCACGTGAGTTGAGAGGCTCTTGTTTATTTTGCGTGCAAGGCACCAGTTAAGTAACTGTACGCTGGCCCACCTCCAATCCCGTACAATGCATCTCTTAGGTTAAATGGGTGCCTCTTTATTTAATCAATGTTTTTAGTACGTACTTGGCAAGTGACAAGGATGTATAATACATACAGACTGACTTGTGCAGGCAGACACTCACAAACACACATATAAAACATATGGGATGTCATTAGAAAAACACATTTTTTTACTGTAAGAATATTTGTTTTTTAAAATATTTTTTATATAAAATTATATTGAAATAATATTTTTTATTTTTTAAATTTTATTTTTGATATTAACATATCAAAATAATATAAAAAATCAAAAAATAATTTATAATAAATAAAAATAAGTAAATAATTCTTTTTACAAAAAAAAATATTTATAAAACATAAAAGAAACCTATATAAAACTTTGCATGCAGCAGCACCGGTCCAGCAGCGTCGACCTAGATGGTAGGTTCCATGGGCCTTGAGCATGTTGTAACTTTGTCCTTTCCTTTTTGCCCTTCTGATCTCAATTAATAAATAAATCACCAAGGGACGCGCGTAATCATCCCCAAAAGTCCGGGAACTTGCAATCTAATGATTTTAATTAGAGTTATTACAACGTAACTGGACGCGTTACACTGTGTTTCACGAGGTAATTTTTCGTTTTATAAACATACTTATGTGGTAGCCTCGTTTCTCGTTAAACTTAATCTCCCCTCGCCAACCCTATTCATGTTTGTTTAGTAATTAAATGTTTTCTTCATCTGCGAAATTTTTCCACTTCTCCAAGTTAAAAGATAAGTAGAATACACAAGTAAATTACACGCTATAAAACAAAATACATCAAGAATACAAGAAAAATTCTTTAACTTTTATTTATCTCGTCTTACATAATGAATATATGAGCCATGCACAAAAATTGCATGCTACACAGTCAAGCTTACACACGTTATTTTTTACCTATAAACAAGAGCTTTAACAACTATTTATAGCCAAATAAGTGGACTACAAGGCACATCTATGATTCTTATTTTTTAGGACATAATGGGACACTTTCTCCCTCATAATCTCCATGATCTTAATGGCTTATTTTCCAGCAAGTAGTGGATAGTTACTGGCCATGATCCAGCAGCTTGTAGAGCAATTCCCTTGATCAACCCCACGTTCTGCCCCATGAACCCATGATCTAGGAAGTCCATACATCCCACTCACCTATGTTCTGCATGCCTACCTTGCAGCCCCAACTGCTAGTTCTTGCTGTGTCAGTTGTTGAGTCACTCGTATACCTTGGACAGTCCTTTGTCCAAGTTTCATATCGTGCTAAGCCGAACCCATGACTTGCACAAGCTGTTGTGTTCTGCTGAATTTGCATCTGCATGCAGGCTGCCAATTCCTACGCTGCTGAAGTCACATATGCTTGCAGGTTGCCATTATTTGTGTTGCTAAATTCCGCGACAGCCCCAGTTCTCGTTAGCCTATCTTCTTGATGAGTTTTCTTGCCTGGCCTGGACATTCCAGCGTCCAGCCTATGTTCGTCAACAATCTGAGCTGCTGATTTTTCTTTGATAAACCTACAACCACACAAATCTGAGCTGCCAATTTTTTCCACTGTTGGCATAGCTAACAACACCTTTAGACACTGTTTTGGACAACTTGCTGAAGTGTGTACTGATTAGTACTTAAAAGTGCATTTTTATCATGGTTTTATATCATCATTTTGCACTTGAAGTATCAATAACTCCTTAACTAAAATATGTTTTATAATAATGTATCTAATAATATAAGATACCTATAATTTGTGGTAAATGTCTATTTTTAATGTAGGCCTATCACATAAATGAAAGGATTGATTGATGACTTGAAGAACTTAAATTGCAAGGATAAAGAGATGGCCAAACTTAGAAAAGAGATGTCGGTGCAATCCAAACTGGAACACTGTTCGGTAATTGGGTCATATCTAGAGCTATATATCTCAGATTTAGGTCCAATTTATATGGATGGAAAGGTAAGACATAGGCCTACAACTTTCATATGGAGCCCAAGATCTAAAAAGGCCATTATCAAGTCCAAATTGTAGCAACAACAAAGAAGCCCGAATCTGTCTTCCAGCCCGAGCACTGTTCGGTATTTTGGCCATATCTGGAGTTCTAGAAGTCCAAATGAGCTGAAATTTTTACACAAGAAAGCTGAGACAATTGCCTACAACTTTCATGTTTGCAACTGGCTCCAGTTTTGACGTTATCAATGACGTTTTGGGCAGACAAGAGAAGATAAGGATTGTCACCAAGTCAAAAGTTGGCCACCCACTTATCAATTAGTCATCAAATCAATAGTTCCCAATTTTGGCCTATAAAAGGAGGCATTTGCCATGCATTTAGGCATCTTGGTTTCCAGATCAAGATCATGCTCTTCCTTTCTCTCTTTGTATTTTTTATGCTTTGTTTTCATTAATATTAAGTTTATGCCTTTCATTTCCTTTCCTTTACTTAGTTAACTTTTATGTTGTTATTTTGTTTATCTATTTTGCTTTCTTTCATTATGTCTAGCTAAGTTAATTATGTCAAGGTGAAAAGGTTACACTAATGGTGTGAGAATAAGTATAATGTAAACTTAATATGGACTTTAATGTTTGATACTAACATGTTTTATATTTGTTATCTTGTTCACTCTTTAATACTTTGCTTGTTAAATGACTAATCTTGATTTATGTTGTATAACACTTGGTACAACAAATGCTTGGCACTTTCATAGCCCATAATGTATGGTATAACCGACACCTGAGCTATGAAAGGAACTTGATTTGTTGTTAACATAAGTTATAATCATGAATGCTTGACGAGATTTACAAGTATTAGCATTAATTGAATAAGATGACTAATGTAATCATGTTAACAATATATAATTTGATTGGAACCTCCTTTGTGTGTGGTTTCCAATTCAATAATAAGAGTTTATATTATACTTGTTTGATATACCATTAGTGGAACCTCTAACCTTGACATTTGTTATTATTATTGCTTAATCCTTACATTAATATTTCATCTCTAAGTTCTCATCATCATCATCATCTTCTTCTTCTCTTTCTTTATTATTATTATTATTATTATTATTATTATTATTATTACTAGTTGTTATTGTTGTTTTATTATTGTTGTTTATAATTTGTACAATTAACCTCCCTGTGGTTCGACCCCGGTCTTGCCGGGTTATTTATTACTTCGACACTCCTGCACTTGGGAGAAGACATCAACCTTTTAGTCGTGTCATGTACCTCATGCATATTTGACATTGTTACAAACCACCCCTACCAAAAGAACTCGATGCCCTTGTCAGACATATTCAAAGTACCCTTGTTCCTCATCACATTCCATGTTTCTCCTCGCATAACCTCTAACTTTGCCCACATTCAACAACAATTCAGTCCACCAAATTTCATCAACCTGTTTCAAAGCCAAGCTATGACATATTCTGTTTTGGTTCGTTAGTTTTCCATAAATGTCAAACATATCATACTCGCAAGCATGCTTTCATGAAGTTCGAACACTAATCGCAAGCATCCTAGGTATCCATCCCTTTTCACAAAATACATTCATGTAAAATCCCTTCGAAGAACCACATGAGCTCCTATACAAACATCTAATTCTTCAACCATTCTACATGCCAAAACTGTAAGTATAAAATTTAAATATTGCTTACTTGTCCATTGTTCAGCAATCAACTCTTCCTGTCGAATTCTCCTCAGCCAAAATGCAAGGTCGTCGTTGTCCATTGCTGCCGAATTCTATGTAGTATGCTTTTCTTTAGCGCATCCTCACACCAATAGTTCAAACCATGATTTGTCCGTCGGTAAAGTTACGGAGCTCCTCCAACTCTACCTTGACTAAGGCAGTTTGGCCACGCCCAAGTCCTCATCGACTAGGCTGGCCCCTTGCCAATAACTCTTTTACTTAGTGTTAAACACATGTATAGGAATTACATATGTCATTCCTTTTCAATCTTTTCCCACAAAAATAGCACTAAGTAGTGCTTTCAGTGGGCTATCCCTTGCAAAGTGCTTACCCTCGCAAATAAAACAGCTCAACTTGATTTCGAAACCTTTTCCTTACCCTTGGCTTCTGACTTCCCATTACCATCAGCCTGTTTTGGTTCTACCCCATTAAGCTTTTTTTTTCTTTTTCATTTCATACATATCCATCAGTGGGTACGAAACAAAAGATGTTCCAATAATCCCTTTGCTAGCGCCTGCTTTAAAATCTGCCAACCTATTGGCAGCTGACATAGTTGAAGACAAGTCCGAAACTTTTTGCCTACGCAACTCCAATTGTGCCTACGACTAAAGTCCTAGTAGAAAATTGAATGTTTTGTACTTTTTATATATATTATCAATATATAAAATTAAAGAACTAAATTTCTTTATGTAATCCTTTACTAACCCATTTTACAGCAACTTTTTCAAGTCTTCCCTTGCAATCCAGGACATGTTGTTAGGCAGAAATTGCTCTTTCAACTCACGTTTCAAAGTCTCTCATATCTCTATTTTTGGCCTACCAACATTCAAGTCCTCTTTGGATCTTGTTTGCCACCACAATTTCGCATCTCCCGTGAGATACATCATTGCGATGTTCGCTTGCTCATCCAACTCGACCTTGGCATAACTAAAATAGTGTTCCATATCCCATAAGAAATTCTCTAATTCCTTGGAACTTCCAGCACCCCCAAATGCTTTCGGTTCAGGAATCTTGGGTTTAGACATACCTATACCAACAGAAGTGTTTGCCACAACCTTTTTCAAGATTGCAATTGCTTCCTCTACAGCTTCCAACCTTTTACTTGTTTCTATGGCAAGACTAATGTACAAGCTTTTAGCCCGTTCAACACTTGCAATGGCTTCCCTCAACCTATCATTGATAGAACGTTGTTCTTCATCCTCTTGAATAGGCCCTATCAACTCTTCAATTCGAGTCAGTCTTTCTCATATTGCCTCCATACCCGCTAGCATAAGGCTTCAAGCCAACAACTCCAACAATAGCTTCAACCAATCAGTCCTTCGATCAACCCACAGAACGATCTTGTTGTTCTGCCTAGAATGCAACTGTGCTTTGATACCAAATTATCACAGGGTAATTTTTCGCTTTACAAATATACCCATGTGGCAACCTAATCCCTCACTAGACTTAGTCTTCCTTCGCCAATCTCACTCATGTTTGCCTAGTAACTAAGTGTTTCCCCAACCCAAGAGGTTTCCCCACTTTCTCAAGTTAAAAGACAAGTGAAATACACAAGTAAATTGCACACCACAAAGCAAAGCACACCAAGAATACAAGAAGAACTATCAACATGTATTTATCTTTAACAAAGGATTACACAATGAATATATATGTCATGCACAGAAATGGCATGCTACACAGCCAAGCTTACACACGTTATTTCCTATCTATAAACAAGAGCTGTAAGAACTATTTATAACCAAATAAGTGAGCTGCAAGGCACACCTATGATCCTTATTTTTTAGGATATAGTGGGGCATTTTCTCCCCCATGATCTCCATGATCTTAGTGGCCTATTTTCCAGCAAGTAGTGGATAATTACTGGCCATGATCCTATGATCTAGCAACTTGTAGAGCAATCCCCTTGATCAGCCCCATGTCCTGGCCCATGATCCCATGATCTAGGAAGTCTATAACTCTCACTCACCCACGCTCTGCATGTCCACTTAGCATCCCCAACTACCAGTTCTTGTTGTGTCAGTTGTTCAGTCACTTGTATGCCTTCGACAATCCTACATCCAAGTTTCAAATCATGTTAAATCGAACCCATGACTTCCACAAGTTGTTGCATGCTGTCGAATTCGCATTTGCGTGCAGGCTATCAATTCCAACATTACCGAATTTACATCTACATGTAGGTTGCCACAAACAACCCCAATTCTCATCAGCCAATCTCCCTGACAAGTTTTCCAACCTGGCTTGGACATTCACGCGTCCAGTCCATGTTTGTCAACAATCTACGCTGCCGGTTTTTCTTTGACAAATCTACAGCCGTATAAATCTGCGCTGCCGATTTTTTTCATTGTTGGCATAGTTGTTAGCACCCTTAAGCACTATTTTGGACAGCCTGTTGAAGTATGCACCTCGTGCGCATTTGACACTATTACACTGTGGGTGAAGCTACATAATTTCTAAATTTAAAAAAATATTTAAGTCATGAAAAATTTAGTCTAAAAGGTCAAATCTTCAATTCTTTGTTTATGTTATATCTTAAATTAAATTGAGTAAAAGTTATATAATCTATTCAAGTTAACAAATTCATAAATAATTTAGATAATAAAAAAAAACATCATTTGGCTTCCAAAAAAAATTCAAAATATTTTTTTAATATTAAAATAACGACTTATTAGTTTGACATGAGTTTCATGACTTAACCTACCAAACCAGCGACTTAGGTCATGGACTCCACCAGATTTAATAATTTTATTTTTTAAATCTATTTTTTTTTTACTTAATTAAATGATAACAAAGGCAAGGTGATTATTTAAGACCGTGTAAACCCTACTTGAAACAAATTAAAACAAATTATGAAGGTCAATTCTTATCATCTTAAGTTGAACCACCAAAAGCATAATCTGGGTTATGGATTCCACTGAGTTTAATATTTTTTTAATATTTTTATTTAATTATACAATATAAAATAGAAGCTCGCAAAATTAACCATCAAATAAATATTGTCATTGTTTTGAGATCGTGGTAATCTTTTATGAATCAAACCAAAATGAATTATGAAAATCAATTCAAAATCAACTAAATATTGAATGATAAAATTAAAAAATAATAAACTCAATAAAAAATCAAAGTTAAATGATGAAATTATAAAAAAAAATTAAAAAAAAGCTAGACTCATGAGCTAAGTGGACTAAGGCATCTAGGCTGTCTTTAAGCTAGCAACATGATATCTATCATCGATTGGGCTACTTGCCTAGAATCTAACCATCACCGGGGTGGCAAAAAATTTGGAAGACGGGGGATTGACCTAAAAATTCATTTTCAACCTATTTTAACAAAAAAAATAATTCCTAAGAAACATCCTTGAAACCTCCATACACCACTTACCAATATAAAAACATCATATAATCATTTAAAATAATAAAAATAAACAAAATAAAATTAAACTAAATGAACCCTGAGCTATTTTTCCTACCACTATTAAACTCTCATTGAGAAAAGAAATCCAATGAAACAAATATTGTTCCTTTTTTTTATGGATAGATTATGGCTAACATATAACTTCATATTTTTTTAGCAAGATTATGTTTTCTCTTTCAAGTATAGGGATTGAAAATTGAATAAATTAAACTTTAAGATCAAAATCAAAATTATAAAACTATTAGACTTGCCATAGATTTTCTTCATGTTTTACTTTATGATCCTTTGCTTTTAAATTTATCTTTCTACTACAATTTTAAACTCTTTTTCATAGAATTAGGTCACAAAAATGATTAAATAAAAAAGAAAAAAAGTTCAAGGGTGAAATTATATATATATACTTGTTGAGAAATTGTACAATGAGCATTACTGAATTTTGAATTTAAACATATTTTTTCAGTTGATTTAGGAGTGAACTTTTTAAAGTCATTTAAAAATAAAACACAAAATCTTAATGATTTTATAGTAAGCTAATTGAATTATACAAACTACCATAATTGATGTTTTTTTCCTAGTTACTTTACATTCATATAAACAATGATGATTGTCTACTTTTTAAATGACTTTAAAAAGTTCACTCCTAAATCAACTTAAAAAATATGTTTAAATTCAAAATTCAGTAATGCTTATTATACAATTTCTTAACAAGAGGTAGTGTCTATTTTATATTTTGGTAGCAATTAGTTTTTAAAGTACTTTTCGTTTAGAAATACATTAAATAATATTTTTTATTTTATTTCTTAAAGTTTGTTTTGACATCAATATGTTAAAATAATATGAAAACACTGAGAAATTAATTTGAAACAAAGAATTAAATTAAATTAATTTTTTTTCAAAAATATTTTTAAAACATAAAAATAAACAGACTTGTAGATACCATTCTGAAAGGTGCCTAACTTCCTAAAGGTGAAAAACATAAAGGTTAATGGACCTTTAAGTGAACTTAATTAGCTTAGCTTGCTGTTATTAAAGTCTTGGTAAGTATATCTGTCAATTTTTCAAGTTCTAGTTATGAACTAAATTGATGCATTTTATATACACATGGACAATAATTTTATTAACCTTCAACTTCAATATTTGATGCAATGAACTAGATTGAATTTATTACCCAAATTATATTCTATCAAAGTCCAATAATGTGGAGTTGAGATGGCTAATGATGGCTAAGAACTAGTAGAATAGATTCAAATTGTTGTAGTCCAAGGATTCATATTCAAATTGTTATAGTCCAAGGATTGTCTGTGTAACCATCCTTATTTGCTTAATGTAACTCTTTTGGTGATTGCATTTATCATATTCATAAAAACATTACTCAAGAAGTAGCCAAAAAACAATGATAAACAACTGAATGAAGTAGGGATAGCAAAAAAAGACTTATAGGATGGTGCGGGTCTTTAAGTGCTCGGATCCTTCTTTTAACTTCAACCAAACTTGCTACAGCCATTGAAATGGTAGAGAGAACTAGACTAATTCCAATACACTGAAGTTGCATGATGCCTGATGATCTTTCAAGAGAAAGGAATAAAGAAGAACTCATAGATAAGTATGTGTATGATCATAGATAAGACTGGAATTACAAGAACTAATAGGGTAGGGAAATCAAGATTGTTGATTTTCTGGTGCATTTCTTTTTCTTATTGTGCTGGGAGGGTCTGGAGTTGTGCAAAACATGTATTCATTATGATGCTGCTGCCTAATATAGATAAAATTCTTCAACTTGTGTCATAGTGCAAACTGCCCATAACGTTGATTCCATGCCTTGAGGAGGAACGACAACCTTATTTC